GGTCCATCTCTCATCCCAGCACTTAGGAGGCAGAGGCAGGCAGATCTCTGTGCATTCAAGGCCAGCCTGGTCTACATTAGTGAGGTCCAAGCCAGCTGAGGCTACATGGAGACCCTGTCTCAAAAAAAGGGGGGGGAGGAGAGCATATCTCTCTAGATCAGCTCAAAAGTTGCAATGAAAAAAATGCTGTTAATTAATTTTTTTTTTTTTTAATTTTAAAGTCCCAGAGTTCAGGTCTGAGCAGAGCCCTGGCAGCCCTAATAAAGGAGGCTCAGCCACCTGTCCTCTATAAACCAATTAAAAAGTGCCAAATTAGGGGCTGGAGAAATGGCTCAGCACTTAAGAATACCTACTGCTCTCACAGAGGGAGGACCCATGTTCAGTTCCCAGCACCCACATCAGATGGCACACAACCACGTTAACTCCAGCTCCAGAGAATCCTGACACCACACACGTGGCACACATACATATATAAACATAAAAAATAAATCCTAAACAAATAAAAGAGCCAGCTCCCATCAAGTGGGCATTAACCCCCACCATCACACTAGCTATATGACTTCTTTGAATCTCAAAATTCCTGATTTGAAATCAGGGGAAACCACTGCCATTTTCTATCTCGGAAAACTACTGCGTTGAGAAAATAAAATCAAGATGGAAATGTGCTGTGTGAATTGTAAAGTGCAGTTTTAAAAAGGAGGGAGTGTTATATTTAAAGTATATATTATAAAAAATTAGAGTCTGTAGATGCAACAGCTGAGTGGTTACAAAAATGACTCCTAGGTTTGCTGTTCTCTGGGTTGGAACCACCCTCCATCTCCTCTGGGACTCAGCTCAAATGTCACCTTATTTAAAGTGGCAAAGCCACTTTAGTTTTGTCAACTTGACACAAAGTAGAATCACCCAGGGAGTCTCTCTCAAGGAGGGGCTGTCTAGATCGGATAGGCTCGTGGGCCTGTCTGTAGGGGACTGTCCTGACTGCTTTAATTGAAATGGGAAGGCTCACCCATTTTGAGCGACACCATTCCTTGGGTTTGGGCCCTGGATTGCCTAAGTGAGGACAGGCAGCCGAGCACTAAGCATGAGTGCTTTCGTTTCCCTTCGCTCTTGACTGCGGATGTGCTGTGACTAACTGCTCCAAGTTCCTGCTTTTACTTCTCTGCAGTGAAGGACTGTAACTAGGAACCGTGAACAAATAAACTCTTCTTCCCCTATCGGGAAATCTTATCACAGCAACAGAAACGAAACGGAAACACCCCCTTTCCCAAGCCTTCCACCTTCCCTTTTCTTTTTACTCCAACCCGCTTCTCACCATCTGACTACGCCTTTACTGCCTCGCAGACCCAGAAAGGAATCTGTGGGCCAAGATCTCTTTTCCCACTCGCAACCCGGTGCACAAGGAGGCGTGGGAGAAACAGTCTGAGAATAAAGCGATGAGGTCAGGAGACTTTTAGGTAACGCGAGGGATTAGGGAGCGAGGAGGGCAGCTGGTCCCCTCTGCGGAGCTCGCGTTGTCTCGGGAGGCCCCGGGAGCCGAGGATCGGACGCGGGGGACGCCGGGAACACAGCACCCGGCCCGCCCCGCACTGACCTTGAGCTCCCGGGCGACCTGCGCCTTCTGCCGGTACAAGGAGTACAGCACGGCGGTGACCACCGAGCTGCTGCCCAGCAGGATGAACTGGGCCAGCGACGGCCGCCCTCCGTTCTCCATGGCGACGCCGAGCCCCGGCAGGGACGGTACACCAGCCGCGACCCTCGCCCGCCCTCCCGGAAGCCGGAGATCCGTCGCATGCCGATGACGTAGCCTGAGCCGGAAGTGGAGGCGGGGCATAGCGGACCGGACCTCAAGTTTCTCAGCGTGTTTACGCAGTCGCTGTGCCCTTCGAGAAGCTAATAGAGTCCCGGCTGGCGTCGTGGAGTGACTTTGTGAGTGACGCGACCTCGGGCTGCACCACACCCGTTTCACGCGCCGGCCTGGGCTCGCTCCCTCTGGGTTTCAAGACTTGTTTGCTGGGTATTTTTTCAGTGATGTTTTATTTATCCCGTTTGTCACGGTGCACGTATGAACGTCAGAGGACAAATTGCTGGAATCGAGTGTCGTCGTACACCATGTGGGTCCTGGGGATCGAACTCAGGTTGCCCGGGCTTGGCAGCAGATTCTTTCACCCGCTATTATTCGTATGTGTATCAGTGTATTTCCTGCGTGTGTGTAAGTGCACTCGTGTCATGCAGTGCCCACGGAGGTTAGGAGACGGCGTTGGAGGTCTGAGACGGTTGTTAGCCGCCATGTGGATGCCGGGAGCCAAACCCCATCCTCTGTAAGAGCAGCCAGTGCTCTTAGCTGCATAGCCATCTCTCCAATTTGCTGTGTAGTCCAGGCTGGCCTCCAACTCACAAAGATCTGCCTGCCTCTGCCTCCCAAGTGCTGAGATTAAACATCTTTTTCATCTTTACAGATGAAACTGCAGCCAGAGCAGGTGGAGAACATGATCCAAGCCATGAGTGCTCAGGAGAGCTGGAGAGGAATTTGCTTGGCCACAGAGCCCTCACCTCTATTCCAAGTTGCATCACCAAAGTAGCCTTTGATGTGCCACTACCACACAAAGCAACATTTACTGAGTAATAGCTGCAGCTGCTTATGTTATTTTGTCCCAGGTACTGTGACAAGTTTTCTAGGCCTGCATTTTTGCCCCATGTTGGAGACCAAACCATTGAGCTCAATCCCCAATCCCTTAGACCCACATTTGATGCTCACAACATAGCTATAGCCCAAGTTTCAGAAGAGGAAACTAAGATTCAGGTTAAATTTGCTCAGGTCTCCAGCTAAAAGTGTTAGGGAAGGGTTTAAACCCCTGCGGCCTGTGGAGGACTCTTGCAACTTCGGTAAAGCATCTCCTTCCTGAAATAATCAGATGCCTCAGATTTTATCCAGAACATCAGCCTACTAAGACAGTCACTTGCCTTTTTCTCTTGAGTCTGTACCCACACCTGGGTATATCTTACTTCCTGTGACCCTCTTTGAGAAGCCCACACCCAAGCTCATTTTTTGCCATCAGGTCATGCCATAGAGGGAAGAACTTTATTCTTACCGGGAAAGGAACTTGAGTTCTGTACAGAATAGTCGTGGCCTACCAATACAGGAGTTGCAGAGACTTTTCACACAAATGAAAAAGATATGCACAAAGCTACCAAGGACTGACCAGGGGAGCTGGTGCCCAGAACATGAGACAGGAACTTCAGAGCATGTCAGTGAAGAAGGAGGGTTGAGGCCACATTCTAGCTCCTTAAAGGGCATCCAAAGCTTTACCTCATCGTTTTGGGGGTAGGATCCAGAATTTCTTGAGGATGAACAAGGGCAAGATCCATCTGGGTTTTCTTTTTCTTAATAATCAAAATTCCCTTATCCTTGGGTCACAGCAAGAGAAAGAACAGAAAAGAAGTCATAAAATTGGAAGCTGAGGGACCGTCTCCATTGCAAGTAGGTCAGGGGCCCTTGTTTACTGATTCCCCATATCTTGGGCCCTTTTTATGGGTCTCCTGGGAGTCCAATAAAAAACCCATCTCTCTTAAATGAGACAGCATGGTTTTAAATAACCCTGCTTGCTTTTTCCTTTTTCCCAAAAGCTGAAATCCTTCATTACGCATCATATTGAGACAGTCTGAAATTTCCATCACGTGGGCCTTGTCAGGCAATTTCAGCAGCAGCCAGATGTCCCCAGGGAAGTGTGGGGATGGCCATCCATCCTCGCTGAGCACAAGTGAAGGCTAAGCCTCTCAAACGTGAAGAAAGTGAGCTAAGTTTCTAAGGCACCAGGTGGAGCTCCTGGGGTGGAGGAGGTGACTTGGGTCAGTGCCACCAACTGACAGCATGTCACCTCAGACAAACTGACCCTGCAGAGAGGAGCAATGTGTGTGAGGCATTCACTAGGGTCTAGGGACCAAATATGAGGGCAGGCGTCCTGGCTCCTTCAGAGACATGACCAGATGAATGCCACAGGAAAGAGCTAAATGACAGCGTCTAATTTCTTTACAGAACTTGCCCTTGGGAGAACTCCTAACATAATTATCAAGACTCATTTGATGTAGCCAACTTTTTTTTGTGGTACTGGGGATCAAACCCAGGACATTGTACACGCTAGCCAAGCCATTCACCCACTCAGTTGTCCCCTGAGCCTACCATATCTTTTTTATTTTTAAAAATTATTTATTTTTAGGCCAGCCTGGTCTACATAGTGAGTTCCAGGTCAGCTGGGGCTACAGGGAGACCCTGTCTCAAAAAGACCAAAAAAAAAAAAAATTATTTATTTTTAGTAGTAGTGTGAGGGGCACCCATGTGCCGTGGAGCATTTCCGTGGAGGTCAGAGGACAACTTTCAGGAGTCAGTTCTTTCCTTCCACCATGGGTTCTAAGGATTGACCTCAGGTCATTAAGCTTTCATAGCAAGTGCTTTTACCCACTAAACCATCTCACCAGCCTCTGAACATTTTTTTAATATTTATTATTTTTATTTTATGTGTATGAGTGAGTGTATTACCTGCACGTATGTGAGTGCACCCATGTCATGCAATGCTGCGGAGGTCAGAAGAGGGCTTCGGATTCCCCTGGAACTGGAGTTAAGGACCGTTTGTAGCCGCCATGTGGGTGCTGGGAATCGAACCCAGGTCCTCTGCAAGAGCAGTCAGTGCTCTTAACCGCTGAGCCATCTCTCCAGCCCCATGAACATTTTTTAAATTATTTTTATATGTATGAGTGTATTGCCTGCATATATGTAAGCATACCCATGTTGTGCAATGTCCATGGAGGTCAGAAGAGGGCATTGGAGCCCCTAGAATTGGAGTTAGGGACAGTTAGCCACCACCATATGGGTTCTAACAATCAAAACCAAATCCTCTGCAAGAGCAGTCAGTCTCTTAAATGCTGAGCCATCTCTCCAGCCCCAAACATACTTTTTATGAGCATTTATCTCTTCCAATATTCTCTCCCAGTACATGGAGATGGTATGCAGTACATGGTCCCTGACCTTGCAAAGGGTGCAAGAGAGGTGTTTTTTTAATTTTTTTTTATTATTTTTATTTTATGTGTATGAGTGTTTTGCCTGCATGTATGTAAGTGCACCCATGTCATGCAATGAGCCCAGGGGTCAGAAGAGGGTGTCAGATACCTTGAAATTTGAGTTATGGAGCTTGGAACTTGTTAACTGCCATGTGGATGCTGGGAACTGAACTTGGGTCCTCTGCAAGAGCAGCTCCTGCTCTTAACTGCTGAGCCATCTCTCCAGCTCCATGTTTTTCTTTTTATAACCAATTGAAACCAACTAATTTGAGGGGGAAGAAAAGTCTGAAACTTAATAAAATGGAATGTATCATAAAACAGATTTGTTTACTTTAAATTTTTATTTTTTATGTGTATGTATGTGTGCCTGCTTGTCTGTATGTGCATCACATGTATACAGTGCCTGCAGAGGCCAGAAAAGGGTGTTGCATTACCTGGAACTGGGCTTACAGATAGTTTTGTAATAACCGAGCACAAGGCACAGAGGAATGCCACACAGTGATGGTTGAATTAGGAGTCCTTTAATAATAGTGGGCAGTCGAAAGGTACTATTGCCAGAAAGAACTCTCGGCCCCAAAGAGAAGCAGGGCAAGGTTTATAAAGCTTAAAATCACAGTTACAGCATGCTAGGGGTAAAGCCAGTAACCACGGTTACATCAGATCACCATGATTACACCAGACCAGGGGCAGGATAGTTAACAAAGAGGTTTTCAGTTTACAAAAATTTTTTAAATTTATTTTAGGAAAAATTAGTGCTTTTAACCACTGAGCCATCTCTCTGGCCCCAAAACAGATTTATAAAGAACAAAAAAAAAACAGCTAAGAGGATCAGTGAACTACCCACTGATAGGCACCCAGGATGAGTTAATCATGCAATTGGACCCCACTTTATTTTCCAACAAGCCATAGCAAAAAGGAAATGTGTTTGAGTAATTTAGTGACTGAGCAAAACCCAAAAGATTCCAAATTAATTTGTGAAAGCCCAAAGAGGAAAGGACCCAGTTATCTATAGGTCAGTGGGTTGATCCTTGGCTCACCATTGACAATGCTGTCAGAGTTTGTAAGGATGCAAGCTTTGAGGCTTTCTTAAAAGAAAAGACAGTCTGCCGGGTATGGTGGCACCCATTTTTAATCCCAGTACTCGGGACGTACAGGTGAAGAGCCAGAATGCTCTGACTCCACTTTGGCTAGCTTCTTTAAACAAGCCCAGACAAGCTCAGGCATACTGTACATGTAAAAGCCTTATAAGATATGAACAAAAACTTCTGACTCTAAAAGATATTAGTCAGCACATTCCAATGCCCTGAAGACAGCCCCTACCAATCAAGACTTTCCCCGTACACAGGATATGGGGACATCCAAGTATTTTAAAAAGAAGCTTGGTGTGTGCAGGTTTCTGTGGCGTGCCCCAATAAAAGCTCCTGCCTGCTTTGTTTGGGGCCAGACTCCATCTTTGGCTCGTGAAGTCTGTGCCCAGCTAACCACCATTTGGTTGTTGTCTTTTTTTAAAATTCTTGAA